TACTTTAAAGTGTATAAATAAGTTACCCGGGCAATTGATTTACATCAGCCAATCATATGAAAGTCCTCCTATGAGGGAGGGGGGGTGAGCTATATAGTAAACTGATCTCAGCTAATATATGACTCGTCCCTAAGCACTATTTTTCGCAACGGCGAGAATAAGAGGTAAATTCCTGGAGATCTACTGGCTTATTTCCCCGCAGTGGAAAATGAATGTCATGATGCGAACCATATAAATTGTAGTAGTGAATTTTTTTTTTCTTTTGATCTACAAATTTCATAATATCGATAACGAGATCAGTATGGTATGTTTTTAAAATAGATATCTTACACCTTCTTACCATATAATTTTGTCATCCAACTATCCAGATCTTCCGTAACTTCTAAAATACTTATTTTAAAAATCATTCCGTACGATCTGCTGTATGCCGTAATAAAACCAATAAATGCGGTAAAAATATTCAAATTTATGATATCACTGATCTTTTATACGTTTTTTGAGGATCAGATTTACTCCCACAGTCATGAAACTCACTCATATTTTTGACGTTAAAATAAATTGGTAAATCGAAATAAATTAAGAATGTAAGTTGTACCTTATTTTTCAATGATTGGTAAAAATGTACAATATAGAACACTCGTGATGGCGATAATTTATTATAAGAATATACTGTACGAAGTTTTTTAGAGGCTTAGATAATGATAATAAATTTCTAATATTTTTATTTATTTAAAAAATGATTGCCTAGATAAACTTAACTTATAGCACAGGGTAGACAGTACAAGGTACATTAAAATATACCTTCAAAACCATGTGCATGATTCTCAAAATCCATGCATATGTTCTAATAATAATAGGGTTGAATATTTGTTTAGAGATGTGATCCGGATATACTCTAATTTGATTTTATTACAAAATTATTATAAAGAATCCTTAAATAGGAAAATGGATAACGATAACGGATCGCATCTCTAGTTTAGAAGTAGCTTTATGTAATAAAACGAGTAATAAACTAGTAATTTGAATGGAGTCTATAATAATAAATGGGTAATAATACATAGTATAGATTATATTTTATTAGTCTAACAGCTCATACCTAGTTGGAACCGGGTTTATTTTTTATATATAAAACCGGTTTAACCCAAAATAAAACAGGTCTTAACATTATCGTTATAAATTCTATATATTATGTATTTCCGGGTCATATATACGTAGCTTTATAAAAATAAAATTTTTTTAAATGAAAGTCCGGGCGGGCGGGTCTTTTTTTTTGTTATGAGAGCCAAAAAAATTAACTTCATATGGTCTTATAATTACTCTTATTTGAAAGCTAGAAATTCTAAATAAAATTCTCTGCATGACAGAATGTAAACTTTTAATCGATCCAATCAAAACGACCAGGATAACTCGTTATACTGTTCTTCATTTGATGCAATTCCGTTTATCCGTATAATTATCCGGATAATTCAAATCGCTCAGATATCCGAATAATCCGATAAGTATTCGGATAATTATCCGGATATCAATAGTAAACAGATATAAAAGGGATATCCGAATGAATTCAGATCCGGATATCCGATGGGCAAATGAATAAACGGATAATGGATAGGAACACTAACAAATCTAAATCCAAAATATGACTTTTATTATTAATTAACCATTTCCGATTAAATTTTGGTCACAAAAGTTTTGGGTGAGTGAATATATACAGTATTGACTAAGGAAAATCTAATTTCTTTGGCCATGCAATTTTCATAAATTGATTCTATTTTAATATGTGTGGAGACGATTTTCGCATAATTATAAGTCATGAGTATACGTACGCCACATGTACGTACGTACGTACGTACGTACGTTCGTAAGTTATTATTCTGCATATTTGTTGTTTTAGAAGCATTGCTTAAAAAAAGCATTTGAAAGGTATTTGAAATCTGCCCAGTTCTGATGGATAATTAATGTTAGATTCTGCTAAAGAAATGGCAAATGATAAAAAAAAAAGCATTTGAAGATTGGATTTTATTATGAGAATGGTATAGGAACTACTAGGGATGAAAAAAAAGCATTCGAATGGCATTTAAAATCAGGAATAAAAATATGCAAAGAATGTAATGATTTAAATATAGTACCGGACAGTTAGAAACATCCACTTTTTATATGTAAAAACAAAAATGCTTAAAACTTACAAACAAACAAATTTTTAAAAAATTCCGTCTTGCAGTTTTGTTGCTTTTTAATCTAAGCTACAAATCTGTTAAAGTAGATTTTTATTTTTATTATAAATTTAAAAAGTTATTAGAGCCTAAAGTTTATATGTAAACAAAAATTTGGCGTTTAATATATAAAAAATTTGTTTCTATAAATTTTTAACCAATCAGAGTTTTGTTACACGAAATTAACCAATCGGATTTGAGTATAAATCCCAAAATTTGGCGCTTTTATAAAAAAAGTGAATATTTCTAACTGTTATACTGTACAAATAAAAACTGGTGCCAAAAAATGTAATATGCTTCATTTTGAAAAAATATTGTGAGGTGGACAGGTGAAATAAGAGTATTGATAAATTATTACGATGTTTAGAATGGATTCAATTCTATAAGCTAAAGGCATTAAATATTTAGACAGAGGTGGATTTGGCAACGTGAAGTCGATGGATATATTATAAATTGGGACAATCAAAAAAAGCAATGAAAGAGAAACGGTGAAATGATAGTAGCTTTGAAATGCTTGGATAACTCTCACATGTTTGAAGAATTTTACAGGAGGTATATGAAAATTATTATATTAACGAATTTAAGTCGTCCTATTTATTATTTTTTTTTTAAAAAAAATATATTACTAAATTTTAGGTTAAGTCACATCAATATAGAATTTGGAATATATACTATATGGTGTTATGGAATAACTAAGGACCCAAATACGAATAGTTTTATGATAGTACTGGAATATGCAAAACATGGCATGGAAATCTTCGTAATTATTTAAATAATGACCCCAATACATTATTAATAGAAATCTTAGAAAATATTGCAAAAGGTCATAATGCTATTCATAAGGTTGAATTAGTTTATGGTGACCTTCATATGGGAAATATGTTGCACGATGACCGCCAATGAACAAATATTACGATTTTAGGATTAAGCTTTTTAGTAAATAATATTGATGAAAAACAAACAGTATATCTGATATGGAGCTTTACGTTATATTGCATCAAAAGTTTTACGAACAAGAAAATATACACAGGCACAAGATATATATAATTTTGGAATTATCATGAATGAATTGCTTTCTGAAAACCACTTTTTTATGAAATTCCACATGATATTGATATGGATTTGACATCTAATATCAGATATCTGTAATGGTTTACGCCCAACAATTGATAGTGAAATACCAGATCTATTTAAGCAGCTTATTGATAACTGTTGCGATACTATACCAATAAATCAACCAAGTGCAAGTGTATTGCTAGAATTATTTAATAACTGGATGGCAGAATTAAATGACCCAGATTCGGAATTAAATGTACAAATTAAAAATGCCAAGACTGAAAATATTACTTTTATGCAATTTAAAACGCATTCAGAAGCATTTTATACAAAGGTTATTCAACTTTTCAAACTTACAAAAATTTGATAATTTATTGCAACCTTCACAACCTGCATGCTTTTTTGATATCTAATCTTCAAGTTTAATAAATCAGTCAATAAAAGCCGATAATTTATCACAACCTTCACAACTTGCCTACTCTTTTGATATCTAATCTTCAAGTCTAATGAAGCTATATTAAAAGTCTATTGCTATATTCAAATCAAACTAAGATTTCAGTATCAAATATTTTAAAGTTCAATTTTAAAAATGTTGAACTAAAAATTAAATCAGTTTGATCGTGAGCTAGGCATTTGGAAATTTCAGCAGATTATAATTTAAGAAATTTTTTATGGAACATATTTATGCGTTGTTTATTGATTTCCATCAATTCGGAATCGACACATATCAATAAACGCAGCTTTAAATTAATTAAATTAATTCCATATACGTATAAAATATCCCTTAAACCGTAAACTTCGCAGGCAAATTTACCCGCAAATCGGTTTAAGGGATAATAAATAAGGCAAAAGAAAAGTTGCCCAAATATCTTCAAAATCTTTTTTCCTTAATAATTTTGTAATGTAAATATTTACTTTTTTGGCTTGTGAATCCCTTGAACGAATATTAAAATACACATTAGTAAAGAAAAAATATAAAAAAATTCGACAAGCTGTTCTGAAAATTAAAAATCAAAAATTTGCCCAAAGAGAATGTGTGTATTAGAAAATTCATTTGTATTATATAGTAGGTCAGCTGCCAGTAAGAGTATTGAATCAACAAACAAATAGAAGAAAATTGTAAAAGGAACGTTTTTTGACGCTTTAGGAGGTTAAATCGAATGATATTTAATGCCTCTTGTAGTAAATAACAAAATACCATCGGGAAATTTTTTTTATTGCAGTTCTGCACAGATTTGCAAAAAAATTAAATAATAAATCAAATGAAAATCTGTGCAAACCTTCAAATTTGATACTATAAATGCAGAAATTAGATGGAGTTCTGTGCAAAACTTCAAATTCGAAAGGATTTCGCAGATTTTTTACAACAATTCTTCAAAAATCTGCAAAAATACGAATTTTTGCAAATTTGCACTTATTTAATTTTCCCGATGACTAGTGTACTCGCATTGCTTACGCAACGTGCTTAAGTTTTTAAACTTTATTGTGATTAACTAAATCTTGATGAATATAAACTATGCTTACCATATTTGCCCGTAATAACGCGCAGGGGCGTTATTTTGAGCCACGGCCCGAGTTAAGCTTAATTCAGGCCGAAATTCAAACCTACACCCCTGCGCGTTATTACGGGCAAATACGGTATACAAAAAGAAAATTCTTGGATAAATTTTAAATAACAAATCATTGTACAAAAAGGTCTTAAGTAATGCAAATTTTATTTAGTACATCTTTTATTTGCAATAGTTGTTTGCAAGAATCACTTCAACAAAATGCTTTAGCTTTTAACTTATTTACATTGATGAACATAATGTTCATTTTGTCGATTGAAATATTCTTTTTAACTTAATCAGTGGTAATAAAATTAATTTATTTATCTATCTAAATGATTGTACCTAAAATGATACAGTATATCGAATAAACTTGGTGAGAATATTATTTGTTATCACTTTTAATAAGGCGGCATCCATAATTTACGTTAAAACGGTATTGTTATAGAAATCTTAAAGATAATGCAAAAATAATACCAGATGGTATTGTCGATTTCTATACAATACAGTACCAATTTAACGTAAATTATGGATGCCGCCTAATACATTTTTTTCATACATCGCTGTCGAATAAAGATAAATAACAATAATATTATTATTATTACTGCAATAATAAGACAAAGTCTTATCTCATATAATATCACGTCGTATAAATTATTACAGAATTAAAGGTTACTGCTACTACTGTATGAAACTTTCTGCCCGAAAAACTGATTTCGAACTCGATTCTAGAATTGCAAGTGAAATTGGTGAAACTAGCCAGTAAGAAACTCAGGTTGAAACTAGTTTCTAGAGTGGACTAAAATATGTGATGTACATATATGTACACATGTAGTCACGTTTTATTTATACCAGAATAGGTTAGTCGCGCAACCAAAATTCGATCTGTTGATCTCCCTATCTGATATGCAACCACATATACACATATATGCACATCACATGTCTACTCTATTTCGTCCATTCTTTCCACTCTTGGTATAATCGGTTATTAGTATTACATATGAAGGGTTAAAAGCGAAATAAAGAATTTTAATTCCTTTTTTCTATTGGTTTGATTTTCATTATCAGAATCACATTTCCCAAATATGTAGCAGTAGATCACGTTCCTGAAACACATTTAAATCATTTTAGCCAAATAAATCAGCAATTACAGAACTAAGATTCTGACAAGAAAAAAGGCTAAATTTTCGAGCTCAAAAAACACTATACATCATCTCTATAAAAAAAACCCCTTTGAGCTGAACTAGATTAGTCGATATGCATAAAAGAATTTTTTACATACATCTAATAATGGTGCCACATCATGAGTATACGTGTATGACACAATGGGTTGTTTTACATTCATGGGTTATTGTGATGTGCATTAGAAACTATGTTAAAATTATTAGCGTTAGCCAAAATAAAGATCACGTACTATCGCTTTTACAGTATATAGCTTACAATTATTAAAGAACGTTTCGAGTATTTTAGATGTGGAGAACAAATTATATTACTATTTTCAAATGCTTTAGCCACATCAATTCTTAAGAATTTTAATAACAAAGATCTGTTAAAACATCACTATTTTACAGTACTTAATATTCGAATGAAATTTGATGAAAATGAAAAACAAAGAAAATTTTGATGACGATGAAACCTTAAAATAAAAATTCTAGAAAAGTAACACAATTTGTCCTCCATATCTATAAAAGGGGGTGATTTTATCCGCCTGAGATTTTATCATTATTCACAAAGTCATCAAATAAATCAAAAAATCAAGCATACTTACTACAAATAAAATAAAATGTTTTCCAACATACCCGACGTTTTTTTGTTCATACTATTCTTATTCACTTTAGCATTAACCTACGATAGTTTTCATAAAGTTAATTTAGAACTGGAAATGATCCAAAGCATTTTATCTGAAAATATAAAATATCTTTATTTTATCCTTATATGCCTAATCACTCTTTGGCACAAAATTGATTCAACGTCACGAACTGAAGCTAAAAAAATTGAAGCTATATTTGCTCTTAATAATGAAATACGTAATGACATTACTGGAATACGTAATGATATTACTGGAATATGCAATAACATTACTGGAATACATAACGACATTACTGGAATACGCAACGAAATTACTGGAATGCATAACGACATTACCGGAATACATAATGATATTAATAGAATACGTGGAACATCCAATTTTGGTTTTGCATGCCTATTTATTCTTTACCACAAAATTAATTCAATATCCCAAACTGAACCCAAAAAAATTGAAGCCATATTGGCTCTTACTAATGAAATACGTGACAATATTAATAAAATACATAATACATCCCGAACTGAACATAAAAAAATTGTATCAGATTTTAGCATCAAAATTGATTCAATATCCCAAACTGAAACCAAAAAAAATTGAAGCTATATTGGCTCTTACTAATGAAATACGTGACAATATTAATAAAATGCATAATACATCTCGAATTGAACATAAAAAAATTATATCAGATCTTAGCATCAACGTTAATAGAATATGTGAAACATCCAAAAAAGAAAATGAAGAAATTGGAAAAACTATATCAGATCTTATATCAGATCTTCGTAAAAACTTTAATGAAATACGTGAAGCTGAACAAAGCCTTATTTTTCAAGGTATATTATGTTATTATAATGTGATTTTAATTGTTTATAACTCATATGCCAGTATATTTTAAGCTAATTTTTAACTTTCTTATTTAATAATAGCAGTTTTAAATCAGTTTTCAAACACAAAGAGTATAAGCACAAGACAGATCTCTAGTTGCAATGATACAGAAACACTTCGGAGCAAATTTAAGTCCCTCGTTGATCAAAGAACAGAAAGGGACAGGCTATCCTTCCCTGGTCCGGTGCTTAAAGCATTAACTACAGATATTGATCTACATATTGACACCTTGGCTAAGTTTTATCTCGGTCTTACAAAACCACATACAAAAACATTGAAAGAAATTAGTGGGTGGGTCGATGAAGAAACAAAAAGAAATAACAATAAAAATATATATAATTTTAGTCGACTTCTACAAAATTAAAGATTATTTTATGAAATTCTGGTTGGATTTTATGTTAGATATATTGTAAATGGGAATGTAATCATAATAGGTTCGGAATCCACTAGATTAGAACGGAATAATAATCCTAACCCTAACCTTAAAAATTCCGAATCAACTTAAATTCTGTTCCCACTTACAACATATATGTAGGATTTTTTACACATTACTATTATTAGAATAATGCAAAAAAAAGAGATAAAATGTTACAAAAAGATATTGTTTTTATGTATATAGGATTTTTATATGTAATACACACAGCTTTATTTAATATAAAAAGTCTTTTAAAAAATAAAGACAGATTTTTTTTATATTAAGCGGTCCTGCCTTTATTTATTTTTTTGAACTACTATGTGATTATTATACAAATGTATTACATCAAGATAGTGTGTTGCATAAAGACTTAGATTTGAATATTGAGGTTATAGAAAAAACATATGTTAAAACTAGTCAGTAATTTTATTTTTCCGACTTAGATTTGAATATTGAGGTTATAGAAAAAACATATGCTAAAACTAGCCAGTAATTTTATTTTTCCATACTCATGGATTTTATAGTAAATAATAAAAATTATACTGTAAAGAAATGTAATGTGGAATGTTTTATATAATTTATAAGTTAACTGTGATAAATATCTTTAATGAGATAAAAAAAATTCTTAGTTTTATTAACAAGTTAAAATTAATAGCTCACAGCAATTATTGATGCATAAGTCAATTTAAAGAAAAAATTCATTAAAATATATAAGTGTAGTAAGTTTATTGATATTGTAAGTAAAAGTATAATCTAAGCTAATTTTGAATTGTCAAGTTAAGATTAGGTAAAGGCTGGTTTTATGTCCAATCTGGGCTAGTTCCAAATTAATTTTAGCATTCTCAAGTGCCTTTCAGGATACTATTTCCTAGTGATTGATAAATTATACAATGATTATGATATAGTTTAGCTATTATAAGCAAAAAAATTTTTTTTAGCAATTCTGACTTTATTGTATAGAAGATGTAATATCAAATTAATTACTTAGTTATTATAAATAATATGATTACAATTAATAACCCTCCTGTTTATGAAAAAGGTTCATCTAGTTACCAAAGTACCTAAATGTAATCTGCTTTATTAACTGTTTAACTCTTTCTCAAAGTTTACTTAACTCCCTCTTGAGCTAATTACTATATATAAACATCTAGATATCACTACTTAGTTATTAATCACTTGTCAAGATTGTTAGCTTTTTTTAAATTCTCCTTACCTAGCTTCTAGTATAAAAATTACCAAAGAGCAATAACAAACCAAAATAAAAAAAAAGTGAAAGAGTTGTATAAAAAGGGAAAAATACTGCATATTCTAAATAATAAACTAAAAGAACAAAGAAAGAAGAAAAAGAAGAAGAAAAGAAGACAAAGAAAGAAAACAAATATGTTTGTATGCTAAAAAACTATATAAGCATTATATAAATTATATAGACTATATAAAGAAATACTTAACCAAAGCACTATATCTAGAGATGGGTTCGACTACAAACGGCTACAATCATTCATAGCCAATTTGCTAAATAATAAGATAATTTTTTGTTCTTGAGCTTTTAATTAAAGTTGTTCAGAATTAAATTCTGAACACCCTATATTATAAGTAGAAAGAACAATACCTTCTCTAGAACTCAGAATTTTAAGATCTGTAATAGCATAGCCGGCTACAAATCTTAAAATTCCAAGTTCCAGAGAAGGTATCATTCTTTCTACTTATAATATGGGATGTCTAGAATTTAATTCTGAACAACTTTAATTAAAAGCTCAAGAACAAAAAATCATCTTATTATTTAGCAAATTGGCTATGAATAATCGTAGCTATTCGTAGTCGAACTCATCTTTAACTATATCTAATATAAACTACAAAGTAACAAAATTTTTTTTTTATTGATAACTCATACTAAACTTAGTTAAACTTTACCTTGCTCAAGGTTCTATGACCAAGCCATTTAACTTGTGGATTAAAAATTAAATCAGCTTTCTCTACAGGATGCCCAATCTTGGTTATTTTACTGATATTAGTCACAATACCCCATATATAGCATGCCACATTTAAAGACCAGACCTCAGCTGCCTATTGCTAGAGTACATGTTTCACCTATATATTCACCCAAACTTCAATAACTTTACACTATAGCTTGATCTATATACTTGAAGTCAGAACTAACCATTAAACCTCTACAACTAACTAGTACTTGTTGTGCTACTATTACCAAGTTCATATCTCAAGCCACCCTTTAGAATGCTGCTATAACCTGGTTTATATCCCAAGCCACAACCTTTCTAATTAGTTATAACAACCCTATTACCTATATTTAAACTATATTCTTACCTAGATTCTTTATTAGTCTCTTCTTTACTTCCAGATAGCAACTTGAAAAGGTCAGTCTGCTCAGGCTTTAGGTGTCTTATAGTTGCTCTCTTTTTGTACATACTTTCAGAGTATATATCTTTTTTCTTTAGTATGACAAAACCTAGTAGTTTAGCTAGTATATTCTTTACTATTAGGACTGTTACTTAGTTTTCCAATCTTAGGCATTAGTTCAAATTTAGCACTTCTTTAATACTATCAAAGATCATTACTATTTCTCAATTCAGAATTTTCAAAATGGGTTTTAGTTATTCTGGTTTCTTGTGCCAATGCTTCTATTACTAAATAGTATAACCGAAGTTACAGATTTAGTTCTAGATCTAATTAATAATCATAACTGTCAACTGGAGTATAGTTCTATTTTTCAAAGTTGTCATCTGTGGGTTTAAACTCTAGATCTGCCACTTGGAAAGGGTAATAACTAGACCACTATACTAAGTTACCATGTCTCTTAAAGTGACAAAATACTATTTACATCTATATTAAAAATTTTTATACATTTTTTTAACTTTTAGTAGTGTGATCAAGTTTTTAAATTATATATATTTTCCCAAAACCAAATACTGCTGCTATTAAGAACCTAGATCTCAAGCTACTTGTTGTTGTTCTAGGTTATACACATGAACCTTAATTTGTAATCTGGCCCATTTTGATAAATATATTACCCAATATAGAGTATTCTTATGTTAAAAGAATTCTAGACTGAAGATTACTGTAGATCTTTTCTAATCAAATTCCAAAGCCAAAATATTAAATTTTTTTAAACTTCTAATAACAATTTCTCAGTAACCATTTGATTAAATTTAGTAAAAGATTCTATTTTGATTTTATATATTTGTAAAACTAAAATAAAAAAAGTTTATTAAGTTTGGTTTATTGAATATTGAGAAACCTTTACTAGAAGTTTTGAAAAAGATTAAAATATCTTGAAAAAAATCCAAAATTAGTAAATTTTTCTTTTTGAAATTTTAAAAAATAATTTCTCAACACCCATCTATCTAAATTCAATGAAATTTTTTTATTTTGATTCTGCAAGTTTGAGGATTAAAATAAAAAAAAATTGCTAAATTTGAATAGACAAATATTGAAAAATATTGATTAAAAGTTAAAAAAAATTAACTGCTGGTTTTTTTATTATAGATATCTAAAATTTAAATGAAGATAACCCGGCATTTATAGCATTTATCTAATCAATTTCAATTAATTTTTTTATTTTAATTCTACAATATTATAGAATTAAAATAAAAAAATTGATTAAATATAATTAGTGTGCCAAGTTATTTTTATTCAAATTTTAGATATCTGTAATAAAAAAAATATAGTTAATTTTTTTTAGACTTTAAAGATAAAGTGTATATAAATTATTTATTATATGATATGTGTTGTTGATCTTTTTTGTATAACAGATTACATAGTAAATGCAACTCTGATTGGGTAATTACCTGATTTAGAAATATTTTACTATTTGTTTTTTTTGTATAACCCCAGCAAATTTAAAGTTTCTCAGCAAATTTAACTATATAAGAAAGTATATTTTTTTAAAATAATACAACCTGCGAAAATTTTACTGCTATAAATAGAAGGTTTAATCTGTATATTACTTAATTTTGGTAAAAATTAATAGTGGTTTCAAAAACTTTTATTAGTGGCGTATTGTAATTTTATATGTGAAATCTCATTGTATCACAAAAATTATATAATAAATAATCAATATACACTCTACCTTTAATTAATATTTCCTAATATTTGTCTATTCAAATTTAGTAAAATTTTTTAATTTAATCCTACATATTTGTAGAATTAAAATAAAAAGATTTTTATTGAATTTGGATAAATATTTTTTGAGCAATTGTTAATTAAAGTTTAAATAAATAATTTTATTGCAATATTTTTTTTTAAAAAAATTTTTTACAAAACTTTAAACAATAATTTCTCAACACTCATATATCCAAATTCAATGAACATTTTTTTTATTTTGATTCTGTAACTATGTAGAATTAAAATAAAAAAATTACTGGAATTAAATAAACAAGTCTTGAGAAATATCGATTAAAAGCTAAAAAAAAAATTTGGCCACAGCTTTTTTTTTACAGATATCTAAATTTGAACAAAGGTTACTCCACACTTACCTGATTATATTTGGCCAAACTTTTTTTAATTTTACTTCTATAATCTTATAGAATTAAAATAAAAAAATTTGATCAAATTTGATTAGGTAACAGCCAAATTATCTATTTGGATTTTAAATGCTCATAAAAAAAGTTGCAGCCAAATTTTTTATCAATATTTCTCAATATCTGTATATTTAAATTCAATAATTTTTTTATTTTAAACCTACATGCTTGTATAATCAAAATAAAAAAAGTTTATTGAATTTAAATAGATAGGTGTTGAGAAATCATTGTTTAAATTTTAAAAAGAAAAATTTTGCCGATTTTAGATTTTCTTTTTAAGATATTTTAAGCTTTTTCAAAACTTCTAGCAAAGGTTTCTTAACAACTGCTAAACCAAATTCAATGACCATTTTTTTATTTTGATTATATAAATCTATAGAATTAAAATAAAAAAAGTTTTACTAAATTTTATCA